TGTTTTTTCAAACAGGCAATTTTGGGAGCAGGTAGCTTTTCTGGTTTCTAAAGAGTCTGCCTATTTACATGGTGATTTCATCACCTTATAATTCCTTACCTGGAAGGAGGGTAATACCCCGTGAAACCTGTGTGTTCAAATTCATGTAAAACACTAACACAAGACCTCAAATGAAGGCAAATTCATATAATCTAGCTTTCCTCCCTTCCTTTTTTTGTCTCTGAGGATTTCCAATTTGAATACTATCAACAGGAAATCACTCTTACCACTGAACCACACAATCGCAGAGTTCAAACTTAGAGGTGGATCTGGCCCTTTCTCATACATGAATGCCTTCAATCGTATCTCTGACAAGGGGCTGTCCCACCTGTTTTAATACCTGTAGTAAAGGAGCTTGCTATCTTATTAGGCAGCTTATTTCATTTTTATGCTCTTCTTATTTTTTCAGTTCTTCATCATAGTAAGCTGCCATTTTCTTGTTCTCTATACATTCCAATCATTAGTCTTAAGTTTTCTCTTGTGGAACTACAAAGAAAAAGTCCAATCTGTCTTACATATGGCAGCCCTTCAAATATTTAAAGACAAGTACCACGCCAATCTCTTCCCTCAAGTATTTTCACCTCTCGGCTGGGCATTCCCAGTTCCTTTTAGAAATGGTTCCTTGCTTGGCTCAGTTCCCAGTTCTCTCATCCTGGTTGCTCTCTGGACACACTATCAAGGATTTATTAAATACTTAATATGTGTCAGGCACTGTACTAATAAGTACTAAGGATATCAATCCAAGCCAAAAAAAAAAATTCCCTGATGCCAAGGAGCTTACATTCTAACAGGGGGAAGACAACACATAATAAAGAAGCTTAAAAGGTGGGGGGCAGGGAGGGAAGAGATGAAGGTAGCCGAATAGGGGCATGGTAGAGAAAGTTGTCAGAGGTGCAGCCTGGAGAGGAATTAAGACAAGGTTGGCCTGGGCACCATTATTAAAATGGAATTTTGGAAAGGAACCAACCTTGAGAGAGAGAGAGAGAGAGAGAGAGAGAGAGAGAGAGAGAGAGAGAGAGAGAGAGAGAGAGAGAGAGAGAGAGAGAAAGCCTGGGGTGGGGTGGGGTAGGCAGAAGGTACTTCTAATGTGTGGATTTCAGAGTGAAGTGAACTTTTAGGATGAAAAGGTTTCTATGGCATAGTAGAGAAGCTCTGGAGGACAGTCCAAAGTGCAGCCTAAAGAGAATTCTTTTTTGGCTCATTTGGCAGTTACTTTTTAAAAATGTTGATTCAAGAAATGCAATGCTAATTCAGATCAGTGCTCCAAGAAGCCCAGTATTCTCTTACAGTGGCACAAATTATTATTTTTTTTAATTCTCTCTAATGTCATTTCAGGATGTTAGGGATATACCTTCCAAATTTCTGGCCTTCTTCAGAAACTGAATAGGCATTTATCATCTATGAATTAATCTAAACCATTCTTGAAACTATTTTCAAGGATGAGACCACCATAGTTGGTGTTCACATCATGGTGTTCATAGAGTTGAAAGAGACATTAGAGGTTCAACTTCCCCATTTTATAGATTTGAAAACTGAGGCCCAGAGAAATTAAGTGACATTGTTGCCAAATTACAGAAATAGCTTCAGAAGAGAAAGGCATATTTGGGAAGTAAACAGATGGTGTTTGAGAAAGAGACATACAGACCAGTGGTCTCAAGACTTTTTGCATGATTCATTCTTTCAGTAAAAATGGGTGAGCATTTATCCACAAGGTATGTATATTTATTTACTTAAAAATTATATACATGTACTACCATAATGATTATGTATGTTACAAAACTTACATGAAAATATAAATTAAAAACGTTGACTCCCTAGAGTCAGTAGGGAGCCACTGGATTTAATTTGAATAGGGGACTCACATAGTCCAACTAATTAGTCTTAGGGAAATAATTTTAAACAGGTGTGTGGAGGATAGATGGGACAAGGGAAAGTCTTCCCCATGTAAAGACTTTTAGGAACTAGATGGCAAAAGCATGGTGGGGAGGATTTGGGTGAAGATTAATAAAAGCAATAACAGAAGCAATATTGTCATCAGAACATATTACAAACTAACTGGAGTGAAAAAGGAAATGGATGAAAAATTTGGGAAACAGATAACAAGCCTGGCTTAGTAGCTTAGCATAGTAGTGACAGGTAATGCCAATTATCTGAAAATTTTCTTGAGCAGACTCTTGCTCTCTGCCCAATACAGAACAACTAATAATTACTTTCTTTAATGAAAATTTCATCTGTCAAAATTTGGAAGAACCAGGGAGAGGAAGTGACATTCTAAATCTAAATTCTGATATCAACAAGTAAAAACTAGTGGCTGGAGTGGAAATGATGGGATCCTTGAGAAGTGATCAGTCCATCTCAGAATTTGTCATAGAAGACAGGAAAACTCTTGAGTGTGGTCTGATATATATATCCATGATTTGGGGAAGATTTCAGGTTTCAGAGAAAGAATAAGGTAGATGTCATGAACTAACATTCTCTAGGAAAAGTCACCTTGGGAGACATTTGAAACTCTAAAACCCAAATGGAAACTTCTTACAATGGCTTACAAGAAAGATCTATATGGTATTACACTGGCCATCTTTTTTTTTAAAGAGACATTTACAGAAGATGGAAGTGAGGGAAGGTAACAATAAGATTAATAGAAAGGTATGCATGGTGTGCCAGAAACAAGATTTATTAGAGTACATGCCATGTAGGCTGGACTAATTCTCCTCTATGAATCAGGGAAGCTGTTTCAAGACTTGATTAGTCTAGGACAGTAAGCCTGATACAGCTTCCTGGACATCTAGAATATTAAAAGGTCAGCCTACAATGAGTCAGTGTCTGTCTGACTTGGATTAATATCCCACTGCCAGGGAAGTCAATGCTATCTTCTGATCTAACACCAGACGCAGTTCTGCATAGAAACAAGCTGGGCAGAGTCTACCAGAACCAGTGTTGAATGCTAGCTAAATATCCTTTTAAATAAACTTTTTGCTTGTTTGTTTGGATTATGAGTGTCTCATTTTGATTCAGTCCTAAGCCTAAACCACCATCATACCCTTAGTCAGCACTGACCCTCATCATGTGGTCCCATGAGAACAGTGTCAAGAATGTGAAAACTCAGGAACGGGCTAAGGCAAGAATGGAATGAGAAAGACAACAAAGAAGCATTTGGGCTTGGGACCATGGGCAAGTCTCTCAGCTAGCTTCTTGGTGACCCTGTCAACACCTTGACTCTTAAGTTACAAATGAATTGGTGACCTTATTGATGGAAAGTTTCCACACTTGGAGTTTCCCACACTCATGAAATCACAGGTCTGAACTAGAAAGAGAAGACCAGGTAAATTATATCCTTATATTTTAGTGACGAACAGCCAGTTAGCACAGTGGATAGAGTGCTGGGCCCGGAGTCAGGAAGACTCATCTTAATGAGTTCAAATCTGGCCTCAAACACAGCCTAGCTGTGTGAACTTGGGCAAGTTACTTAACCCTGATTGCCTCAGTTCTTCATCTGTAAAACAAGCTGGAGGAAATGGCAAACCACCCCTGTATCTTTGCCAAGAAAATCCCAAATGGGGTCAAAAAGAGTCAGATAATGAGTGTGTTTGTTATATACTTAAAAGGTTTTGGGCTAAACTTTTGTTTTAAAATGAAGACTTTCTTCACAATGATTTACACAGTACCTACTGTTCTTCCTTCCATGCAAACATATTTCCATATTACCCATGTTGCAAAATCAAAACAAATCAAAAAGTCAGAAAAAATAAAGAAAGTGAGAAAATTCTTTTTCAATCTGTACTCAGAGTTCATCAGTTCTCTGTCTGGAAATGGATAGCATTCTTCACGAGTCTTTTGGAATCATTATGGATCATTGTCTTCATTGGAGTAGCTAAGTCTTTCACACTTGATCATTATTACAATACTGCTGTTACTATGTACAGTGTTCTGGTTCTGCTCACTTCATTTTGCATCAGTTCATACATGTCTTCCCAGGTTTTTCTGAAACTGTCCCCCCTTTTGTTTCTTAAAGCACAATAGTATTCCCTCACAATCATGTACCACAACTTGTTCGGCTATTTCCCAATTAATGGGAATCCCCTCAAATTACAATTGTTTGCTACCAGAAAAAGAGCTGCTTATAAATATTTTTGTACATATAAGTCCCTTTCCTTTCCCTTTGATTTTTTTGGGATACAGACCTAGTAGTGGTACTGATGATTCAAAGAGCATGCACAGTTTTGTAACTCTTTGGGCATGGCTCCAAATTGCTCTCCAGAATGGTAGGACCAGTTCACAACTCCAGTAGTTCAATTAAGTGTCTCTGTTTTTCCACATCCCCTCCAGTATTTGTCATTTTCCTTTTCTGTCGAGTTAGCGGATGTGAAGTGATACCTCAGAGTTGTTTTAATTTGCCTTTCTGTAATCAGTAGTAATTGAGAGCATTTTTTCATATGACTATTAATAGCTTCGTTTTCTTCTTTTGAAAACGGCCTGTTTATATTCTTTGATCATTTATAAAATGAGGAATGGCTCTTATTTTTATAAATTTAGCTCAATTCCCTATAGACTTGAGAAAATAGGTATTTAACACAGTAACTGGCTGTAAATTCCCCCCTCCCCCACCCCCTGGTTTCCTTCTAATTTTGGCTGCTTTCATTTTTGTTTTTGCAAAACCTTTTTAATTTCATGTAATCAAAATTATCCATTTTACCTCCTGTGATCCTCTTTATCTCTTGTTTGGTCACAAACTCTTCTCTTATCCACAGATTTGAAAGCTAATTTTTTCCATGCTTCCCTAATTTGCTTATGTTACCCTTTATTAAAGTATCTACTCATAAGCTTCTTTGGGTTTCCCAAAATTCTCAAGAACTCTCAATCCTCCAACAATAATTCTTCAGAATTTTTTTTTTTAAATTAATATCACTGTAAGGAACAGTGGTTAAAAGAAAAAGGGTGAAGAGGAAAAAAATACTGGTAAGTAGTGGTTACAATTAAGGCTTTTATTTATTGAGATTTGTATCTTATATTCATTTCTTCATTCACAGACATTGTACTAATTACACATTTGGTGAACATTTGAGCTTAACAAATGGTCTCTAAAGCCTTGAAATCACCAAAGTTTACTTGTCTTTTGATTCCTTGGACTTTGTGTCCCTACCCTCCTGGATTCCCAAGAGCACAGCATCAGCTTCTAGTAAAGTTGTATCTGTTTTTGCTCCCAGGAATCTGGATGTGAGCTCAAGATCCAGCAGTCGCAGGCGTACTCTGGTTCCTTTCTGGTATTTTCTAAATGGGAAAAGGGGAGGGGAGCGGAGAGACAGAGAAAAAAAAATCAGTTCTGCATAAGATCTTGTGAACAATTAGTTTAAAAATCAAAGCCAAAGGCATTTTACCTGGTGATGGCATAGAAAAATTAACAATAGCAACCTCAACATAATTTACTCTGTCATACTTAATGTAAATTGGCTCATAAATTGGCATCGCAGATTTAGACCTGGAAGGCACCTCAGAGCTCATCTAATCCAACCTCTTCATTTTACAGAAAAGAAAACTGAGGCCCTGTGAGGTTAAATGACTTGCCCAAGGAATTCAGGTAATACATCACTGTCAGAGGTGCAATGTGTCAGGTCTTCTAACTCCGTAACAACTGCTACTTCCACTGTACTATGCCACTTCCCTAAAGAATCTCCATGAAGCATATCCCAGGACCATTGGCTAGCACTGCTATAACTATGCATTTTCATCTTAAAAGCTGAATTTTTCTGATTAAATAACTCACTTATAAATATGCATTTCTGGCTGACGAGTGGTACAAGTTAGCACTGGATAGGAGTATTTTCTTTTTAATTTATATTATTTATGTTTTAATTTAATTCCATTTTAACGTCAGACTTTTAATGGAGAAAAATTTTCAGATAGATACTTTAAAATTTGCCTACAATTTAAACATGATTTTAAAGGTAAATTCTGCATATTACATAAGAGCAGAAGAGGAAAGTAAGACCAAATTACTAATGTGCAAAACTATTTATAATACATTATATATTATTATAAAAATATGTGTAGCCATATTGTCAGTATAGCACAATCTAAAACAATTACACATATAACACAATTCTGGCTGAAGGCTATTTGATAAATAATCCCCTTTAAAAAACAGAACTGGTAAAATCAACACATATAATTAACTGTGATGTAACTGAGAAATATTTCACAAAATAAATAAAAATCCAACAAAACATAAATAACATTAACATGTGGTTTTCCAAGTCAATATGACCTAAAAGGAGCCTTTGCATTTTGGGGTATGTACGGTTTAGTGGGCCCATTTGTATTTGACAGCTCTGCTGTACACAAAAGTCATTGTTTTGTATTTAATATTCAGTTCTTTGTACAGTACATGAAAATGTTCATGTTCACTGATATCTGTTAAGTTCATAATAAAAAAAGAAAATTTAAGAAGTCATTTAACTAAATAACTTTGTCCAAAAATAATCTAAAAACCCCTTGGAACTCCAGTGATGATAGTGAATATAATAAAGGAGACATTTTAGTTGGATAGGTTTAATTATTACAGGTTTCCTAGAAAAGGTAAACTTTATCGAAATCTGGTTAAAATCTGGCTTTAAATAAATTTCTAGTTGACCTTTTGTTGGTAAATATTTATGTCTTAAATATACTATAAATGTAATGTTCTAAAAGAAGGAAAACTAAAGTTATTTGTAAATTAATAAGAATATACTCATCTTCTATGGTGTGGAAAAAGTAACATTTAACAATGAGCACATATAGTCCAAAATCCTAGCACGAACCACTGTGTAACTAGAAATACTGCCAACTATACAAACTAATATGAGAATATAAGTATAATGTCATGCTGGATTGGGTCAGCTTTTAAACCACAGGTTGTTAACTTAGGGAAGGGGGTCTGTGTATGGAAAGGCTTTCTGCCTTAAAGAAAAAACCTCCAGTTCAAGGTGAATACACGAATGGAATGAGTAAGCTATTATTTGTCCTATGCATCTCCTTCAAGATCTTATAGACTTTAAAACATGGACTACTCTCCCCTCTCCTGGTCTTCTTTCCAGACTGGGGCAGAATGGTTTTTGCCCCCCTTAGTATGTACTATTTTCATGGTCAGGCTAAGATGTTCTCCATACTTTCTCCAAACTTACTATGTCTTTTTGGAGGTATAGTTAACAAGAATATACAGAGCATTTACAGAGACTACCATTTAGTTCAGGGGTAGGATAAAGCTTTGTATTTTTCTAATCACCATATGGACAACTCCTTGCCATTTCCTGTTGAAATGGCTATACTCACTGAATGAGAAAAGTGTAAGATAAAGAAGCAATAATATCATTTAAACATCATTTGACACCTCTGGTCTTAAATTTTATCACCTGTAAAAGTTAGGGTATTAACACAAAATTTGCATGATGGAAAAAGCATTGAATTCATAGCTAGAATTTAAATGCTAATTTTGCTCCTTATTGTCTTGAGAACTTGCGAAAATAACTATGTTTCTAGGCTTAAGTTTCCTCATATGTAAATTTAGGGAGCTAAACTAGCTCATCCTTTCAGCTCAAAAACCTTATGATCCTATAACTAGTTAACCTCTAAGTTTTGAAATTCCATGATTCTGTAATTTTATTTGATTCTCCTTTGACTACCTGTGTTACACAGAATACACATTAGCTAACATACAATAGTTATAAAAAGTTGGATTGCTGGTTACATGAAACATACACACAATCTGATAGGTTTTATGCTTGAAATTGGCTAATGAGTCATTAAAATAAAAACTTTCTTGTCATCTCATGTATATAATACAGAAGAGAAATAGGCTTGATGTTATGGAAATGTCCTCACAGTTAATACCCAAAAATGCAATAGATTGCTTCAGGAGGTGGGACGTTCCCCATACTTGTAGGTCTCTGCACAGAGGGCAGGCAATCATTGTTGGGTATTGGTTTTGGACTAGATGGTTACTGAGTTCCTTTCCAATTCAAAATTGTTTGATTTTGCAATTCAGAGTAGTGCCAATGAGCCCTCAGGGGCTGAGGGTGTATGCTACAGTAGAAATATAATAAACAAATCACTTAACTTCTCTGGGTCTTACTATCATCATTTTAAAATTAGGGCACTGGAGTAGATGATAATATCCCTTCTAGAACTAAATTTATGAATCTCAAGTAAATATATAGCAGTGCCAATTTTCTACAAACTTAGTATGAAAAGGAAAATGAGTGAATTTTATCCAGCAAAAGGTACAAAGTGGGAGAGGACTGTTTCAAGAGACTAGACTTGGCCAGATAAATGACATGTCAACCATATTTTCTTTTCACAGTCTAGGAAAGAACTACAAATACAGTAAATACTTTTTAGCAATGATATAAAACATGTTTTACAATTTTAAATACCTTCATTCAGATCATAAGATTTCAAGGAATCAAATCATCTAAAGAAATTTTTTTTCAGGCAAGGGAGGAATGTCAGAAATACTTTGATATTTTTGTGGGTCTTGGTACTTCTATATGTGAGTACTCCTTCTTTTGGAAATGGAATTAGATGGGGAGGACAAAGGATGCTTCTATTAGAATCTCTGCTGCCAGAAATGATAATATCACTATCAGCAAATATTAAGTCCCAACTATGTGGAAGATACTTACTTAGTACTGGGGCAGGGGGGGGTTCAAAGAAGTACTAGACATAGTATTTCCTCTCCAAAGGCTTTCACAGTTTAAACTAAGTAAAAAAAAAAAGATCTTAGAGCTGGAAAGGGCTTTGGGATCACCTTGTTTGCTCCCTTTATTTTGTGGATGAGGAAACTGAGGACCTGAAAGGCCAAGTGACTTGCCCCAAGTCAAATGCAGTAATTGACAGAGAGCCAGGATTTGAAATTAGCCCCTCTGACTTCAAATGCACAGCTATTCCTTTACACCATGCTGTCAGAGGGACCACTTCTTCACATGTATAGGAAAAAAGAATACAAAATAAGGCAGTATTGAGATAAGTGGAAAGACAACAAAATTTTTAAAACTGCTGTAGTAATTCAGAGGACAGACAAGTTACTTCCAGCTGGGGTGCTTAGGGAAGTAAGAGGGAAGGGAGATGTGAATTGGGCCTTAAAGGATGTACAACATTTAAAGAGGCATAAAGGAAAGAAAAAGCATTCTAGTTTGGGGCAGGGGTTCAGCATAGTGCCAAGAACAGACCAACTGGGCTAAAGTAAAAGATTCATATAAGGGAGTAATGAAAAATAAAGCTGAAAAGGTAGGGTGGAAATCAACTGTGAAGTGCCTTAAAAACAAGGCTAAGGGATTGGGACTTTCCCCTGACATCTAAAGGATTACCTAAATAAGAAAAGCTTTTACGTTCAGAGTTTTGAGATGCTTATAACACTTGTTAAAGGTCAAATTAATCAGCCATTTTACTTATCCTTTGCAAAATTAAAATCCTTACTCTTAATATCTATTAAATATAAAATGTGATGAAAATACACATTTCATTAAAGTTCATGGTCTATATCCTTCTTTTATGGATAGATTTTTTTTCCCAGAAATTTATAATATTATTTTCCATCATCTCATAAAAATTGCAAGGTAAAGGAAATCTCAGCATTTAAAAAATTTTTTTACAGAAATACGAAATTACTATTTTTAGTAAAAAAACAAAAAATATACTTGGGAAAAAGTAATCTAAAGTCTAGATGCACAAGAGATGGGAGAAAATGACAAAATAATAATAAAAACCTTCTAAAGAAGAATTATCTTCAATGGATGTTTTCAACATTACACTGAAGCAATGAAGGTCAGTATTACATTAAGGGCTTGATTTAAAAAGGTAAAATGCTATCAGCATAAGGAGATGAGAATCCAGCCACTCCTAAAGCTTTCTCAACCTGTTCAGCTCTCTGTAAAGGCTATACCCTTCTCCACTGGTGAATTCCTCCTGAACTCATTTTGTGGAGGCCACCCTTCATCGCCCTCCTGGCCTTTTCCTGGCTTTTGAACTTCAAAACCATGTGGCCATTCCTGGTGCCTTCTTTGTCCACCTCCCATTTCAGCTGCCTTTGCTGTGTTATCTTTCCCCATTAGAATGTAAGCTCCTTGAGGACAAAGACTGTTTTTGGATTTTGTCTTCATGTCCCCAACATCCCAGAGAAAGATATGCATATATCAGTATTGTAGAAGATTCCTTGCTTGTATTTGTATCCCCAGAACTTAGCACGATGCCTGGTACATGGTAAATGCTTAATAAATGTTTGTTCCCTTTCTTCCTAC